TGGATAGTTCTCTGAAGACATCCACGCAGTGTGCAGAGGCAGTCAAAAAAGCAAACAGGATGTTAGGAATCATTAAAAAAGGGATAAGAGAATAAGACAGAGAATATTTTATTGCCCTTATATAAATCCATGGTATGCCCACATCTTGAATACTGAGTACAGATGTGGTCTCATCTCAAAAAAGATATACTGGCATTAGAAAAGGTTCAGAGAAGGGCAACTAAAATGATTAGGGGTTTGGAACGGGTCCCATATGAGGAGAGATTAAGAGACTAGGACTTTTCAGCTTGAAAAAGAGGAAACTAAGGGGGGATATGATAGAGGTATATAAAATTATGAGTGGTATGGAGAAAGTGAATAAGGAAAAGTTATTTACTTGTTCCCATAATATAAGAACTAGGGGCCACCAAATGAAACTAATGGGCAGCAGGTTTAAAACAAAAAGAAATTCTTTTTCACACAGCGCATAGTCAATCTGTGGAACTCCTTGCCGGAGGAGGTTGTGAAGGCTAGGACTATAACAGGGTTTAAAAGAAAACTAGATAAATTCATGGAGGTTAAGTGCATTAATGGCTATTAGCCAGTATGGGTAAGGAATAGTGTCCCTAGCTTCTGTTTGTCAGAGGGTGGAGATGGATGGAAGGAGAGAGATCGCTTGATCAGTACCTGTTCAATTCACTTCCTCTGGGACACCTGGCATTGGCCACTGTTGGTAGACAGGGTACTGGGCTGGATGGACCTTTGGTCTGACTCAGTATGGCCATTCTTAAGTTCAACAAAAAACTTCAACCCCTCACAAAAGTGACATTTGCTTTGTCCACACAGCACTGTTTACATTTTAGGCACTTGTGAAGGACAAAAGCTTTGTTGCTCAACTGCCCGTGTAGACAAAGCCTCTGCCACCATTTGATTTAAGTTTAACTTGTTCTAGTTCCTGCGCCAATATTTCAAAATTCATTTTTAAAGTTAGAAGTTTGCATCCAAGGTCAGTTGTCCAAAAAGTTCAGTGTTATGTTCCTCAGAAGAAAGAACAAACAAACAAACAAAGTGCAGCCATGCTATGTTACCTCCCTATACAGATCTAGAACCATCATGGATATGGAAGCAGATCTCTCTTGGCACTAAAGCCATTTTGGCACGCAGCTCGGCAGAGGAATAAAGCCTTTCCCCCTCCAATGCAGCACATCTAGTATGGAAGAGAAATGGGAATGTATGGTGATAGAGATGTAGCCGTGTTACTCTGGGGTAGCTGAAGCAAAATGCAGGACAATGTAGCACTTTAAAGACTAACAAGATGGTTTATTAGATGATGAGCTTTCGTGGGCCAGACCCACTTCCTCAGATCAATGTATGGGACTGTAAGACAGACCTTCAGGTTGCACAGTACTCTTCACAAAGGCAGGAGTTGCGTTAAGCGAGCAGAAACGCACCCTCCACCACTTCCACTAACTCAAACATACAAACAAAAAAAGACAAGCAAAATCCTTTGTGTAAAGGGAAGAAAACTGAATAAGCGAAGCCACCGTAACATGGTTTGATAAAACCTAGTTGCTAAGAACCTTTATCTAACACTAACGCTTTGGGTCTATTTTGTGAACAAATAATCCCACATCATAGTACAGGTCTGTACTATTCTCACAGTAGTGGCCCTTGATAATCAAAATGGAGATTCTGTGGCAAAATGAAGTTGAAAATTCTGTGCTTCCTGAATACATCCTTTTCCAAGACAAAAGTTGTCTAGATCTAGAATAAGTGTAAACCTTTTCTAAATGACCCACCCAAAATTATAGGCACCGCTCTAGCTTCACTCCACTTTGAGTTATCAGGTTTACTCTATGCATTCCCAATTAACTTCCTACAAGTATTTCATTTTAGTTGTTAGGAGCAGGGGTCCACAAAATTCTGTTCCCGGCAGGCAATCATTTATGGATTGTGCTTCTGTTTCCTGCTCCACAAAAAGCAAACTCTACCCTGTGACTCATGAATTTCTGAGGCTCGTAAAGCTCTGAGATCCATTGATAAAGACTGCTTGTCCATTGATAAAGACC